CAAAGATTTCCCACTCCTTGTTACACACACACTTTCAGATGGCTCTTTGTAAACTCACAACCGTCCCACTGAACCCCCGCACGCCGAATTGCTTTACAGTTCCAGTTCCGCTTGTTCTCCTCGCAATCTTTGCCTTGTTAGACTCTTTGGGTATTTTATTTTAACACAACTGTCCAGCTGCTCCACAGCCTCCCTGCTCCCCAGATTTCCGTTGCTCTTTTAAAGGACTCTGTAGAAAGCTGTGCTAACAGATGCACTATACTGGTCAAACAACAGGATGTTGTAAATGTCCAACTACTGTGTGCTTTTCATATGGATATGCTAATGGACACACTATCAGCACACAGCTGTAAATGCAAATAACAGAGCACAGGCTGAGCATCTTTTATGGATGTTTAACCACCTTCTGTCTTGTAAGAGACCAGCTCCCTGCTATTTGTAAAATAAAAAGCGAATAGCTCACCTCGTGTCAATGCTGTGTAAATCAATTAAGGCAATAACAGCACAGTACAGAGGCACTGTTAAGGCTGGCTCCAGAAGAAGCCTTTAAGTCACCGATGGGCTTTCTGATCTTGTCCGTGGGCTTTCTGATCTGCTCCACGACATCTGCCAGTTAACCTCACGCACTCAGGACAGATGTGTTTTAAGAAAATCCTTACAACAGAGTTAAATAAAACAACAACAAAAGTATTCCACAGTAAACTAAACAATTGAGAAACGTTATGGGTTAAAAATTTTAAAGGGCCAAATTACCTTATCAAGCTGCTTTTGGATTTTTTAATCATCTACCACTCCGAACATCCCCCCCTAAATTTAAAAACAGTCCCCAGTGGATTTAGTGACATTCCTGGCACCCTGGCTTCTGAGTTAAACCAGGGGTGCTAATGCCCTTAGGCACATGGGTGCCTGTCTGCCACAGGCCAGCTGAGTAACCACAGGGATCCAGATTCACCTTATCATTACTTGAGTGCAGAAGGAGGTCTGCTCTGTACAACAAAACTTCTGTTGTTCATCCTTTCAGTCTCCAATTCACTGATTCCCTTTCAGTGCATACTGAGTCCTACGGTATTTTACAGGTAAATTTTATCAGAGGTGCAGGTACATTAGCAAGAAATAAAGCATTCCCAGTTGTAACACTTAGCGTTTCATCACAAGTTATACCAACTTGGATAACGTCTACTGATGCTTTCCCCAGGAGGGTCTCTACAGCACTGGGAAGAGTCTTACTGAATGTCATCTTGGTCAGGAAGTTTCAGTGTCCGTCATCTTCTTTTGTCATTTTTCTGCTCCATCTGACTGTACTGCTAGCTAAAAACAAGCAAACAAGAGAGAACCACCCCTCTGCAGCCATCATAAATATAATATGGGCCAAATTCTGCTGGCAAAAATTACACTGCTACTCTCTCAAATACTAACTCAAATAACGGCATAGCAGAATTTGGCTGAAAACAAGAAAAATAATGCAGCAAATAGTTTTAAGGAGTCAGAATGGCTTCAGTCATATGAAACCAACCACAAATGAAAATGTTTACTTATGATTTTTATTGGTGTGTACTATATGTTGTTACACAAAGTTAATTGCTGTAATGGTGTGGGAGATGAGGTAGCAAGACAATCTGAAGAGAACTGGTCAGCTGTCATATTATCAGAGTCCATATCGGTAGTGTGAATTATCAAAACGGTATTTAAGACTCCTATTGGACATATATATGCAATAAAAGATTTTAGATATCTCTCTTAGCAAAAGATCATATCAATTTGAATTAGTTATAAAGTTCCCTGCTATCTGCAATTATGACTTTTTAATTGATACAAAAACGAATTAATTAAAAAAAAGAGCCGCTTTTAGCTTTAATCCATCTGCTTGAAACCACTGAGCTGTACTATGACGCAGACACAAATATTAATGACCAACTGGCAATAGGATAATGAGTCAATAAAGATTTTAAATGGTGTGAGCTAGAACAATTACCAACCTAATAGGCAGATAAATAAGGCTACTTGACTTTACCCAAGGAAAATGATTATTCTTAACCACTTACATTGAATGACCTGAACAAAATGTTTCGGTTTTTCTTCCTTCCTGGCATTTTTCCATACTCCTGCTGTCCCCAATTTCCACAGCTACGACCACTGCTTCTCCATTGCTTATTGACAGGAGACTCCTCAGAGCCCACACATGCTAAAAACAACCATCATGTTCCCAGCACCCTCCCTAGGAACCAAGCCTCATGCCTGGAGCTGCAGAGAAACCCCATGGCAGCCCACAAAACCTCCCCGTGCAGCACGGTGGCCCCGTGCACACCGGCTCACCAGATCCTGCCCAAACGAGATCGACTTTCCCAGCGCAGCGCTGAGGAGCTTTTTGTTGGATCGCATCTCCAAAAACCCTCCTCGAAGACCCCTGCAGCCCCCTCCAGGTCTGACAGGTCCGATTAGCTGCCAAGTCACAGAAATCCCTAGTAAAGAACAAGGGCTTAGGCACTTCTAGGATTTCAAGAGAAAGCTCGTAATATCTTGCATTTTGCCCAAGGCCAGAGTTTTACTGTTGTTTCATCAGCATATTTCTGACATTTGCTATAAGTTAAATTGCAGTTTACATTGCCTCCATGGGGGTTTCAGCAAATGCAGTAACAATATTTATTTAATAAACATCCTGCAACATAACAGAAAATAAAAGTTTAAAAACCTAGGAGAAAACAAAAAACAGTATGTCAAAAGTATTTGGAAACTTGCGATGCAGATATTATTGAATATGTCCAGGTTTTAAAAGAAAATATCTGCTCTCCAACAGTAATTATGTAGTAGTTGTTATTTATGTTTGTTTTGACCATGCAGGGAGGCCTCAGCCACAATGCAAGCTGCCCCATGCCACGCACTGAACAAACTCGGCATATGCGCTGGTTCCAGCAGAAAGTGCCAGCTGGCAAAAGATCAGAGGAGTGTGGCAAGACACGTTCTCCTGGAAGATGGAGGGCAGGACTCTTTCACCAACAGACCAGCTGGCACAGGCACCAGCCTCAGCAGGAAGCAATATTACCAGGAGGATTTGAGCGAGACAAGAAGGAAAGCAAGGGAAGTTTAATCCTGGCAGAGGCTGCCCCAGCAGTCAGCAAACAGGTTGCTCTGCACACCCAGGAGAAAACAAATGCTTTCATTTTGCTACAAGTCTTTTCTCTTAGGGTCCCTCTCAAATCCTGAGCCTGTAACATAGCTACAGAAAGGCGGGAGAACAGAAACAGCGCTGAAATATTGCATAAAGGGGGAATGGATGAACGGCAACAGAAGTCACATATGACCCCTTGGAAAACCCATGTGCCACAGGATTTCAATATGATGTTTTTACAAAAGCAACTTTTCCCTTTGCCTAATTTCACCAAATTCCCTCAGGGTACAGCTCTCCTGTCGGCTGTCCAGGTACTCGCAGCTCCCCCTGGCCGGCTGGGGCCAGTGAGCACCACAAATGGGCCAAGAGCATCAATAAGCCTTAATCTTGCTTCAAATACTGCTTTCTCACAACACTGGAAACTCTGATCCTGTAGATGAAAAGAGAAGATTTATCCGATCATGCTTCACATGCCTGCTACATGTATTTCAAGAAATATGAACAAAGACAAAATTAAAAAAAAGAAAAAACCAAAACACCAAAAAAACAGCAAAGACTTCTTTTATTACTGGTACATTTGGATATTCTCCAGCTCTACCCCTTCCATGGCGGCTCACCAACATTTAGGCACATATGTAACTAAATTCGTATGATTAATTTTAGTGATTTCAGTATTTGTTCCTGCATATTACCCCACTTGATAAAGCACCTGTCACAACTGTGTCCACACTGGGTGGCCCCAGAAGACAGAAGCCACAGAGGCACTCAGCAAGCCGGCTGTCTACGTTTCAAATGGGTTCAGTATTTATACACTTAAAACATTTCAAGTGGCGTACACACAGCAGCATTCACCACGTGAAATGGATCTGGATTTTCTGCAGCGGGTTAGCGAAACATCACATGGAGCCAAAAGGCTCTTCTGTGGAAACCCACGAATCGGTACCTGTCTTTAAACAACGATGGCCCTGCGGACATTGCTCTCCCCCAGCCCCATCCTGTTTTCTCTGGTCAAACAGGGCTGATAGACAAACTGACAAGTCAACCCAGTTGATTAATATTAGTTAAGTTAAACAAATAAAACCACTGTCTCTCTAGCAGAGGTTACTTAGCTTGTGTTAACTGGATTGCATTACCCAGCTAAAAGCGAAGGCATTCACTACCTGTGGGGACCAGTGAGTAACTTGCCATGACAATACTTTGAGTCACTTACAAACTGGGCAATCATTAACTGCAGCGCTGAAATTCTCCACTTATGCTGGGTTGCAAGTTCTCTGCGAGAAGTCCCAGTTAACTGCACAGCAAAGCTAATCAATTTACAGAAGCACCATGCCAGTTCGGACAATATTTTAAAAACGATTACCGGGGGAATGTGCCAGACCTCTGTATATTGCCCACTCCCGGTACATGTGCAGCAATGGCAGTAAATACAAAATCAGGTGGGATATGATCTGACTGCTCCTGGCTCCTTTCCCCATCAGCCCGGGGACAGCAAACCCGTACTCAGCGGGCTCCCTCACAACTTAAATAAACGTAAGAAACGCCAGCGTTCACGTTTGCTGTCCTGTCCCACTCAACTTTACGCAGCAAACCGTGTGTGTGTGGGGGGGGGGGGGGGGGGGGGGGGGGGGGGGTTGCGCGTTGCGCAGTCGGGGTAGTTTTAAACCCCGATCTTCGCTCGGCTTTGGATGCAACTACGAAGCCCAGGGTTAGTCCCACACTGTGTATTTTGGGGAGCCATGCCCGCACTTCCATGCTCTGGGGTGTCGTGCCCTCTGCCCCCCCCCCCCCCCTCAGACACACACACACCGCGGGCGGCCCCTCACGCCGGCGGCCCCGCCCGGCAGTGCGAATGGGGGAGGCCCTGGCCGTGTTCCGCCGAGCCCCAGGCACTCACCTGCGCACCGCCTCCACCGAACCGGCGATGGGCACCCCGCCATCACCGCCGCTGTCGTAGAGGACCCCGCTGATATCCAGCAGCAACCCCCGCACCGCCCGCGCCCAGGCCGCCATTTCCCACCCGGCGAGCCGAGCCGCGCCGCGGGGGCTGCTGGGAAATGTAGTCCCGGCGGGGCAGGGTGGGGGGGGGGCCACTGTGGTTACCGCTGTGCGCCCTCGCGCACTTAATTAATTAATTAATTAATTAATTAATTAATTCCACCTCACAAATAATTTATTATTAAAAAGCTGGGGCAGGAGGGGCGCACGGACCAAGCTTGCTTTTCCCAGGCGATCGCAGGAGCGTCTTCGACAGGGCGGCACGTGCCTGGCTGGCGTCTCCGTCCTCCCGCCAAAATGGCGGCTCCCCTCCAGAGGTACCGCGAGCAGCGTCTTCATCGAGCGGAGCCTTCACCGGGGCTTCCCGCCGCCAACAGCCCAGCAAACCGGTCGGCCAACGGCATCGGCGATCAAAAGCGGCCCAGCGAGTCGGCGGGTGCTGGGGCTCTGTCCCTGTTTCACCATGAACTCCCTCAGACGTTGTGTCCCTCGGGGGAAAAAAATACATCCATCCTCTGAAAGACGCATGCCACCTGAGTCGGATGCTGTTGGATGTAAAGGTTGTAAGAAATATGGCAACATACATGTTGCATTAAAAAGTTACACTGCTTTTGTCATTTCTGGAAAGGGCTCCAGACCTTCAGCGATACCTCCACCAGAGGACCCAGGGTCTCAATTCGGGTCAGACTTTTCTGAAGTGACGGCAAGCTTGGCACGCTCCCGTCCCGCAGTTGCCCTCAGGAGCGGGAACACTGGTGCAAGGGAGGATTCCCTCACCACTCCCTGGCTGCTGCTGAGCTGGGGTTTGCCCTGCACCTCGTATCACACCCTGTATCGCCTGAGGTGCCTCTGTGGGTCTGCAGGAATTGAAGGAGGACAGGATTCGTCCCTTGGTGACCAAGGTGCTGATCCACGCAGCAGCAAAGCCTGACGAGATCTGCATCAACTCAGCCAAAATGCTGACAGGGCCATGCCCTGCTGTGATGGTATCTTCTCGTACATGCCCAGCGCTCCATAGACAACTGAGAAAGAACACTGGCTCGTCATATAAGGAATTGAACTGATCCCCTCCATTTTACAATCACGGATAAGATTTTATCAGCTGTGTTCCAGCTTTACAGATAATATTGTTTTCTCTCTCGATAAAGTCCAAATACTTTCTTACTGCTAATATTATCAATAGTGTGCCATGACTCTCAGAATATATAAGGAGCTGTGGTGGATTATAGTCCACTTTGTTTTAAGCAAAGCAGAGGAGCCTTGGCAGCATTGATTTGCATCACCGCTTCTGGAATAGCCTCTGGCTTCTTCTTAAAGATAATATCTAAACTGTGAAATTCATTAAACAGACCCAGAAATGGATCAGGTTATTTAAAACAACATTACTAATGACACAATATCTCAGCTGTCTCCACCGATAGTGAACATTGTCTTGGACAGTGTTATCAGTCCAGGACACCCGCTATGAATATTGATCCACAGCTTGTTACAGCCATCGCTTCACTTGCCGTCAGGACAGGTCAGGGTTGAAACCCACCTTGCATCAAAGCAATTTAAAGACAGCGCTCAGGCTGAATTTTAATGCTTGGGCTGGGAAACGGACCAACTTCAAACAGACTGCTAAAACTAATCCATGAACATGCGCTTTTCTGTGTGTGCCTTTCTACATGCCTGTATGTTTGTAGGTTGGTGTGCATGCACGTGTTAAACCGATGATGTTTGAAGATGTCTTCTAGCTCAGAAATTCATCTTAATGCTACAGTCTACCTTCTCAGCTCCTGCAGACACAACTCAAACAGAAGTATTTGTAGTCTCACATATATCAGATTCGATTTTTTTTTTTTTTCTTTCCAGCATAAAACATCTCTGGCACTGCCAAGGCTTGCGAGCATTCTTAAAATAGTGAGCCATGCATTTATTAACCATGACAACACCTATGATTTCTCCATGTAGTTTGAAACTAATGTTGTGCTGCAAAAAGAACCTTGTTTCAAAAACACTAACAGGATCTGCACTAAGACCTCATATCCATTTTCTTTATTTAACCTCACTTTTGAAGCAAGCTGTCCAGCAGCTCCAACTGCTCCTTTCCCCTTCCTTCTTCTGCACCTCAAGGAACTTCAAATACATAAGCAATGCTTAACTAGCAGGTAACAGTGCTTTCCCCAAAACTAAGCTTTATCCATCTGTAACTTTAGTGTGTGAACTCCTCAGGACACAGCTCCCTTCTCTTCTACACATATGTGGTATCCCATACCAGAGGCCAGTGCCAAACGGGCTCTTGGATGCTGCCACCACATAATTAACAATAACAATTACTTGGCATCACATCGCCCTGCGTATCTTCATCTCATCTTGCTTACCTGTTATTTTAAGGCCTATGCTTGTGTAATGGCAAACAGAAAGCCCAATTCCACTGAGGCTGATACACCTGTAAAGAGAAGGAGGGCTGTGGTCTGCACCTCTTCCTGGGAATAAAAGCAGGCGGAGTAGCAGATTCCCACCAAGGGCTGCCTGCCCCGTCACCTCCAGCTGAAGGGTGCCTCTTGCTTCATCTACACCTCAGCCTGATTCGCAGCACCAACACAGAAACCCTAAGAAGAGGGGAAAAAACATCCTCCTGAACAGGTACAGATGTACAGAAATACACTGCTAGCAAGTTTTTCACAAGCACAGCTGGCTAGGAGTGGTCGTGGTCATGGGACTGGTGCAGGGCTGCTGTCGCCGGTACCATCCCGGCTACAGGTACGATCAGACAACAAGGCGTTTCCACTCATGGCAAGGAGGGTTAGTTGGGGGGCTGCACAGTGGGGCAGGTACTCCCCCAGCACAGGCATGCCTCAGTTTCCCTGCCTGTTAACTGGGAATGGCGTGAAAGCCACAGGCAAGTTGCAGGAGTTTGGGCCAGCTCTTGGCCCAGAGTCCAAACCAGACAGAGTCGGAGCTGCCCCGAAATGAGAAGCTGCTCATTTCCTCCAGCAGTTGCCCTTCTGAGTCAGCAGCCACTGGCAGAGGGGAGGGCGTCCAGCCTGGAGCTTGCTGGGGCGCAGGACCGGGATGTAGGAGCCGTCCCTCCTCTCAGGGTCCCTCTGAGACACAAAACTCTCCCCGCTGGACCGCCACCGACCCAGGGGAGCCGCAGGAGGGTCAGTGCGTGGGACAGAGGCACCCTCCGGCCCCCGGGGGCTGGTGTCAGGGCTCCTGGCCACTCCCATACACACACACACACACCTTCACCCCTCCCCAAACTCGGGGCGGGTAACGGGAAAACCCCGTCGCCGGGCGGTTTGGGATGGAGGGATGGAGCCAGCACGGCGGGGAAAGGGGGGCGCGGGGGGCGGCGTGCCAATGGCTGCGCTGCCCCCTCCTCTGCCCCCACCCCGCCGCCGGCCCCTCCGCCCTCCCCGCCCGACCCTCCTCCTCCTCCTCCTCCTCCTCCTCGCCGCTCACTCCTCGTCGCCAGCGCCCAGGCTGTGCGGTGCGGGAGGCGGCCCCGCTCCGCGCCCGGCGCAGCCCTCCGCCGGCTCCGCGCTGGGAGCCAGCAGGTCTCCGGGAAGCGCGGAGGGTTTGGGGGGGGATGCCGGAATGCCCGGACCGCGGGGCCAAAGCGGCCCCCATCCATCATAAAATCTCCTTCTCCATCTTAGACATCCTGGATCCCCAGAAATTCAGCAGGAGACGCGAACCGGCCGCGGGGAGCTGGGGCAGCGCCCCCCGCTCGGGCGAGCGGGAGAAAAGTTTGGGAAGAGTTGAAGTAGGAAAGGACGCTGCTGCTCCCGACAGCGGGAGGAATAAACTAGAGGCACATGGTAGGAACGCGCTCGAGTTTCTCCGGCCGGCGCTGGCGGGGCGAGCAGGTGGAGGCGCCGGCAGCCGGGGGACCCCCGGCCCCCCGAGGTGCGCTCCCCGCCGGGAGATGTAACGGGCAGCTCGAGGGGGAAGGGGCAGGGGAGGGAGGGCGCGGGGGGGATGGAGTTGTATTTTAAGTCGCGATGACGCAAAGGGAAAAGTTCTCGCTGGCCGGCTCCCGGAGCATCCCCCCGCCGCCCCGGGGAGGACGGGGGGGCCATCCCCGAGCGGGCTGCCGGCCCCCGACGGGCATCGTCCGGGCTGGTTTCCCCCCCAGCACCGCGGGCCCCGGGCGGCCCTTTCCCGGGGAACGGGGGGGCCTCAGTCGCCCCGACCCCCCGACCGGCGGCGGGACGGCCGGCTGGGTAATTGCTCAGCCCGTCCCCACCGGAGGATGCCTTAGCTCCCGTTGATCGATATCCTATTACCGACTCCCGCCTATCTCCTGCCCGCAGCTTGCAGGTGCCCACTTCAAACCTCCTTTCCCCGGCCTGATCCTAATATTGTTCGATTAAAACTTACCTTTAATAGATGACATCTATCGATCTGGCCCTCGCAAATCTGAAACTCCATTAGCGCAGGGATGGGGAGGAGGGAGGGGATTTATTTCGCTTCAGAAGGGGACTTTAATAACTTCTTTTTTTTAATTGGTAAGAAATCCATATCGACGCCTCCCCTCTCCCAGCCGCGGAGGGGCTCTCTCCCGGCGGGCGGTTTTTTGTTTTGTTGTGGTTTTTTTTGTTGTTGTTGTTTTGGTTTTTTTTTTTTTTTTTTTCCCTCCCGTTTATTTTATTTTAACGATTGCCTTTAATTTATCACGTTTGCGGGGGGGTGGGGTGGCTGATGGAGAAGAGCCGGGTTGGGAAGGGTGGCAGGCGGCTCGGCGCTGGGTGAGGGGCTGGCGGAGGGTGCTGCGGCCGCCCCCGGGGCGTCGTCGTGCCCACCCCCCCCCGCGCCCCTTGACGAACTCAGCCATCTCCCCCCCACCCCCCCCCCCCCCCCCCCCCCCCCTCAGATGCGAGCCCCGAAGAGGCAGCGGGGCAGGAACGCGACGAGGAGGAACCCCCCGGGGCTGGGACCGGGAGCCAGTCCGGCGCCCGGCCGCCCGGAGCGGAGGAGCCGGGCTCGCCGCGGGGTGCCCGGCGGCGGCGGGCCGAGGCGGGGTGCGGGAAGCCGCGGCGGGCGCGGACAGCTTTCACCTACGAGCAGCTGGTGGCTCTGGAGAACAAATTCCGAGCGACGCGGTACCTGTCGGTCTGCGAGCGCCTCAGCCTGGCGCTCTCCCTCAGCCTCACCGAGACGCAGGTGAAGATCTGGTTCCAGAACCGACGCACCAAGTGGAAGAAGCAGCACCCGGGCGCCGAGGGGACGGCCCCCGCCGCATCCCCCGCGGCGGCGGGCGGCGGCAGCCCCAGCCCGCCGGGCCCCGGCGCTCTCCCCTTCCAGACTTTCCCATCCTACGCCGCCGCCAACGTCCTCGTCCCGCCGGCCGCCCCCTTCTCTCTGGCCGGCGGCCCCTTCGCGCCTTTCCTCGGCCCCGCGTACCTCGGCCCCTTCTACGCCCCGCACCTTTGAGGGGGGCCGAGCCCGCCCTTGCCCGCCCGGGAGCCCTCCCGGCCAAGCGGGGCGCGACCGTCTTCGCTTCTGGTGGTTGCATGGCGATTTGAAGTGTAAGCTGATTTTTTTTCTCTAGGCGTCACGGCAGCATGCTTGAGGTATATACTTTGACAAAGAGAAAAAAAAAAAAAAACCACACACTGTAACCACTGGATGTTATTAGCACATTTGAGATGTAATTATAGGCGTTGAAGATGGAAAAAGTAACCCTCTTGACACATGCCTGACACCAATTCCCTCCAGATTCTTCTCCAAGTTCGTTTTGAAAACGCTCCTCGTTGCTGTCTGGCTTGCCAGCACATGTCTCAAACCCGGAGAGCTGGGGAGCTGCGGCACGTGTCACTCCTGCTGTTATCCCGATGCTGCTGCGCGCGGCCGTTTCAAATCCTGGGGATGCTCACCAGTGAAGATGTTCCCTAGGCTCAGAATTTGCTTGTGGGACGCGGTTGTGGCCTGTTTGACCCACGTTTTATTATTGTTTCTGACTTCTGACCTATAAACTGCCAGGTACCCTACCTGGAAGAGAATTTTTCTTTTTGTCTGAGGTGGTGTAGGAAACTGCAGCTCTGTATCATCAGGCGACGAGTAGAAAATCTCCCTGCTCAGTGGGAAAGTGTTCAGTTGCTGCTAATGTACATGGCCTCTCTGCCTTTCTTTTCAGTTCATTCCCAGTGACTTCAAAGGTTTTGGATGAGATGTCTAAAGATCGTTCTTTCTGCAGAGAACGGTTGTTCTTGTAATACAGCATTAGTGCCAAATGAGGCAGAAAAGAAAACAAATCGGAGAAAACGATTACATTATTCATTTCTCTACAAATGGGGCATTTGTGGTAGAAAATAAGTAAAACACAGAATTTACAGCATGCCTAGACCTATTTTCCATAACAGAGAAACACATGTTTTTTCTTTTTGCTTTTTGGAGCATTTGTTAGAAAGGAAATTCACATTTCATCTTCATCATTACAAGCACCGGAATGAAAAGGAATTTTAGCTGGGGGCTTCTCTGTCCCTGAACGGACGGGAAGTAATTGGTTTAAAAAAATCTGTCTCATGCAGTTTTACAAATTACTACAACACACTGTTCAAGACTGGATCCCCTCAGTCTCTTGCGATGCTTTACACATTGGCTCTCCAACCAAAAAACTTAGCTCATAAATCCTATCTAGCTCTTCTTGTGTTTGTCTAAATAAAAGGGTTTTTAAATTATTCTATGTTTAGTTGTTTTTAATTGTACTCGGAAGCAGCGGGGTTTCCTGTGTGGACTGCTTCCCCGCTGGGTGTGGATCTCAAGGTGGCTGCGGGTGGTACCCCACCTCCTCCGGGCAGGCTGCGAGGACGGGCTTCATGGGACACCTCTCTCTTGCAGGAATCACCTTCCTGACTTGCAGTGACGCAGGGAGCTGAGGTGCACAAGGGGCAAGGCCAGGCCTGGGGAACGGCTGCTGCCTGCGCCCTGCCAGGCCGGCGGGCAGGCAAACTGAAATTGCCCGAAGTTGTCCTTCCACACCCAAGAGGAGGTATTCGGTGTCTTCTCAACTATTTGCATAGCTACTAACAAAACATGAGGTTTGCCTCAGGTCATGGCTTTCGAAGTCATAACTACTGTATGAATGTATTTACCTGCAGGTTAATTAAAGTAACTTTTTAACTCTAATTTGACGTAAGAGTTACAAAAGATGGGGGTCATTACAAGCGCTGGGCATACAGCCAGACCTGCCTTGTTTTCTGGCCACTGAAGCAGCATCCCGGGTGTCTGGGCCATCGGGATGCAAGGCTGCTCACAGGCTGGCTGTCTGTTTCTGGCTGCCGGTGGTCAGTTAAAGCTCGAGCCCCACGGGAAGAGAAAGGTGTTCTAGCAGGCCCGTCTGGTTCGTTTTCCCTGCCTCAAGTTAGGATTAACCGGACCTCCATCCCCTTGACCTCTTTGTGGCCTCCTACTCGTGATTGTTATCACTGTGCATGCAAAAAACAGTTCTTGATTTCATTTGGCTGTCACTCTTAAGTTGTTCCCAGAGCACAAAACGGTTGGTCACCCGCCGTGTACTGAAATCTCTGATGGAAAAAAAGACTTGTGCCCTGTCATTTGTCGTATGATTAGTTCTTCTCCGTAAGTGTAAATCGTAGCAAAAAACAGGGAGCGTTACAAATCGGAATAATGCAGATAGTAGAAAATGTCTCTTCCTTTGAGACGCAGTTTTGCTTTCATAAATGTTTTCAAGGCTCTGTGGTTTGCCAGCAATTTCGCTTTTGGCAGAACTACATTAGCTCTATAGGAAATCTCAATACTCGATTCCTGTACAAGAAACGCCAGCCCTTTTTTCCCATCACTCTGACTAAATACAGTTTCGATAGCCCAGATTCACAAAAATGTTTGACAGTTTATTCCAGAGAAGATACCAGTCACAGTTCCCACTCTGCATGGCTTGCACATCTGCACAGTCTTGGAACGGTGATGCACCACAATAGAACTGCAGATTTTGTGGCACTGATCCCAGGCCACCAAAGATTTTCTGGCTAAATGCTTCCAAGTCCTTCGGATAGACCCTTCCCCTCTTGCTTTGTCAAGGGGGAAGCTGCTTGAGTGGGTGATATCTGGCTTCTATTAAGGGATGTGGTGACTGGTCACTTATTACAGCTGTAATTCAAAGCAGCCCTGGAAATAGCAATTGCCGTCAAACACCTCACTGTCCAGATGATGCTATTTGCACTGGTAACACTTTTGGAAATGCCCCACTGAGTATCCATTATCTCCAACAATTCTGAATAGAGATTTGTGCAGCATTTTCAAGCACAGACAAAAATTGACTATACTCACAGCTGAAGATAGATATTTAAGGGAATCACAAGTCCCATGTGTAAAAAAAAAAAAAGAAAAAAAACCAACAAAAATCCATCTATATTAAATTAAAAGAGCTTTGAATTCACATACTCTGGAGAATACAGGGAAGTTAGTATCCTCCCTCACTCTCACCTTAGTGTCCATAAGAACAGTGTCTGCAGCAAGCAGGGATGACCCCAGACAAGGAGCAGCCAGAGCTCGAGCTCGGAGGCCTTCTCCTGCTCCCTGCTCCTGGCAGAAGAGTTCCTTCAGAAAAGACGTGACTAGTGATTTTTGTTGTCACTGTGGAACATGTAAGTCCCACCTCCTGATGGCAGCACAGGTTGTATTTATGGTGAGAGGTAGGTAGCAATGTCTTCTGGCAGATGTCCTCTTGGCCATCTGCACGCAGAGAGATCAATCTGTGTGGTGTGGAATGGCTGATGCACAGGGGAAGCAAAGACGGAGGCTTGCTGTAGCTATTCCCTTTATCAGCTGCCTCGTGGGCTCCAGATAGCTGTCGCTGGACTAAACTAACTCCTTGCTCTTACTGCTGAAGGTGTCGACCAGGAAGGTCTGCAGTAGGAAACATACCAAACATTTCAAAATCAGCTACTGCAGGCTGCATCCCAGCCAGTGGTTTTTCTGTAGGATATGCATGAAGCAGGTTGAGTCCCTTTTAAAGATGTGGATATCTAATCCTACATCATTTTCTGTGACGCATACTACAGCAACAGGTATGTGCAAGCCTTGTTTTGGTATACTCAGTCCAACAGCTAGGCCCTTTTTATTGTTTACCTCATTTCATAAAACACCACTGATACTATTTTTGGTAATCTGCCAGTTCTATACCATGTTCAGAAAAGCAATGAAAGTCAAGGCACCCATGTGTTTATCAAAGGCTTCACCAAATATAACAGCTGATCTATTAAATGCCTTATCAGTCCACTGAGTGGTCAGGTGATTCAGGAATGATTGAGAAGCGTTGCTTTGGTCCCATATACTGGTTACGAATGAGATCAAAGTCTGATTTTCAGCAGCTTTACAACTCACAGATAGACTAGACGTCTAGCAAAATATTTGGTGGGTGAGATCCTCCTGAAGAAAAAATTGATAATAGGGTTCTTGCATCACTTAACCCGAATACTTTTTTTGTTTTCCAGTATGACCCCATATTAGCTGAAGTCACCTTGAACAGACCTTTACAGCACTTTCTTGACATGGAAAACTCATGTTCTGGGCCCCATTTCTGGTAGTGTACTCAGTAAAAGTTTCTGGGAAGATAATGATGCATGCAACTAATTTACAAGCTGCATGTTACAGGTTTTCTTTAGCCTCTTGGTTGGCATCTTGGCTGTTTTATTCAGAGAAGCTTTTTTGTGGTTGCTGTGATTCATGTAGCCTGTAGCAACACTACCTTTGCTTACTACAGTAGCACAAATATTAAATTCAATTTATCTTAGATTTTTCCCATTCAAACACTGAAGAGTTCCCAAGCTAGCTTCATTCTCAAGTTGATCATCTCATTTTCTATGTGTAATGCCACATGAAAAATGTAATTAAAAATGTGGCATTCCATAGGGCTTAGGCACGTTGTAACACTGCAGAGGGATTTCAGCAGTATTCAAGATTCACGCTTTTTCACCAAACAGCCTCTGACAGACTGAAATACATTCAAAGACTCCAGATCTATGTACAAGATTAATACAAATAAAAGATTTTACTCCTTTCTACACATGCTGATTTGTTATAGTAGCTTTGACCACTGCAGTTATTTTACTGCTATTGTTTAAAGAAAGAAGCCTTAAACATGATTTTTTTTTTTTTTTTTTTTTTTTTTTTTAAGGCAAGAATATACAGAGCTACATAGACTTTTCAAAATGGGAACCTTAGAAGATGTCAGGCTTTGTGTCTGTGGATCTTTTAAGCACCTGACATAACAAATTGAGAGTCAGCTGAGTTGAAACCTTGTCCTCTCAGGTTAGGTCAGTTCTGTGACTATGTCCCAACATCCAATACCGGTGCTGACACCTCTTGTTTAATGTTTGTGGGTAGCCATCAGACTGATGGCTTTTCTTATCATTCAGTCCCTTCCACTGAATTACACTGAATGTCACAGGTATCAGTGAATTCAAGAAATGCTGCATTTCACTGAAATTGCTACAGAAGAGTGTTAGTTTGAAGAAATGATAAATGAGCTGCAGAGAGCAAAGAATGGATTAAATGCTTTACTAGTTTATTTGTCCCTTCTAAGGAACAGCCATATAATAATTTAAGACTAGGTAATTTCTGTCAAGA